AACAAACCAAATTGTAAAGACCATCAACACTATGAGGAAACTGCATCAACTAATGGCCAAAATAACCAGCTAGCATCATAATGACAAGATCAAATTCACACATAACAATATTAACCTTAAATGTAAATGGGCTAAATGCCCCAATTAAAAGACACAGACTGGCAAATTGGGTAAAGAGTCAAGACCCATTGGTGTGCTGTATTTATATAGCCTCAAAATAAAGGGATGGAAGAATATTTACCAAGCAAATAAAAAGCAGGAGTTGCAATCCTAGTCTCTGATAAAACAGACTTTAAACCAACAAGGATCAAAAAAGACAAAGAAGGGCATCACATAATGGTAAAGGTCAATGCAACAAGAAGAGCTAACGATCCTAAATATATATGCACCCAACACAGGAGCACCCGGATTCATAAAGCAAGTTCTTAGATTGCTACAAAGAGACTTAGATTGCTACAAAGAGACTTAGACTGCTACAAAGAGACTTAGACTCACACACAATAATAGTGGGGGAATTTAACATCCCACTGTCAATATTAGACAGATCAACAAGACTGAAAATTAACAAGGATATTCAGGACTTAAATTCAGCTCTGGACCAAGTGGACCTAATAGACAGCTACAGAACTCTCCACCGCAAATCAACACAATATACATTCTTCCCAGCACCACTTCACACTTTATTCTAAAATTAACCACATAATTGGAAGTAAAACACCCCTCAGCAAATGCAAAAGAATGGAAATCATAACAAACAGTCTCTCAGACCACAGTGCAATCAAATTAGAACTCAGGATTAAGAAATTCACTCAAAACCACACAATTACATGGAAACTGAACAACCTGCTCCTGAGTGACTACTGGGTAAATCAAAAAATGAACACAGAAATCAAGAAGTTCTTTGAAACCAATGAGAACAAAGACACAACATACCAGAATCTCTGGGACACAGCAAAAGCAGTGTTTAGAGGGAAATTCATAGCACTAAATGCCCACAAGAGAAAACAGGAAAGATCTAAAATCGACACCCTAACATCACAATTAAAAGAACTAGAGAAGCAAGAGCAAATAAATTCAAAAGCTAGCAGAAGACAAGAAATAACTAAGATCAGAGCAGAATTGAAGGAGATAGAGAGATAGACACACACACACACACACACACACACACACACACCCTCTCACACACACACATACCCTTCAAAAAATCAGTAAATCCAGGAGCTGGTTTTTTGAAAAGATCAACAAAATAGATAGACCACTAGCCAGATTAATAAAGAAGAAAAGATAGAAGAATCAAATAGATGCAATAAAAAAATGATAAAGGGAATATCACCACTGATCCCACAGAAATACAAACTACCATCAGAGAATACTATAAACATCTCAACACAAATAAACTAGAAAATCTAGAAGAGATGGATAAATTCCTGTACACATACACCCTCCCAAGTCTCAACCAGGAAGAAGTCAAATCCCTGAATAGACCAATAACAAGTTCTGAAATTGAGGCAAAATTTAAAAAGTCCAGGGCCAGATGGGTTTACAGCTAAATTCTACCAGAAGTACAAAGAGGAGCTGGTGCCATTCCTTTTGAAAATATTCCAAACAATAGAAAAAAGGGACTCCTCCCTAACTCGTTTTATGAGGCCAGCATCATTCTAATACCAAAACCTGGCAGAGATACAACAAAAAAAAGAAAATTTCAGGCCAATATCCCTGATGAACATCGATGCAAAAATCCTCAATAAAATACTGGCAAACCGAATCCAGCAGCACATCAAAAACTTTTCCACCACGATCAAGTCAGCTTCATCCCTGGGATGCAAGGCTGGCTCAACATATGCAAATCAATAAATGTAGCCTATCGCATAAACAGAACCAATGATAAAAACCAGATGATTATCTCAATAGATGCAGAAAAAGCCTTCAATAAAATTCAACACCATTTCATGCTAAAAACTCTCATAAACTTGGTCTTGATGGAACATATCTCACAATAATAAGAGCTACTTATGATGAATCCACAGCCAATATCATACTGAACGTGCAAAAACTAGAAGCATTCACTCTGAAAACTGGCATAAGACAAGGATGCCCTCTCTCACCACTCCTATTCAACATATTACTGGAAGTTCTGGCCAGGGCAATCAGGCAAGAGAAAGAAAGAGCATTCAAATAGGAAGAAAAAAAGTCAAATTGTCTCTGTTTGCAGATGACATGATTGTACATATAGAAAACCCCATTGTCTCAGTCCAAAAATCTCAAGTTGATAAGAAACTTCAGCAGTCTCAGGATACAAAATTAATGTGCAAAAATAACAAGTATTGCTATACACCAGTAATAGACAAACAGAGAGACAAATCATGAGTGAGCTCTCATTCACAATTGCTACAAAGAGAATAAAATACCTAGGAATAAAACTTACAAGGGATGTGAAGGGCCTCTTCAAGGAGAACTACAAACCACTGCTCAAGGAAATAAAAGAGGGCACAAACAAATGGAAAAACATTCCATGCTCCTGGATAAGAAGAATCAATATTGTGAAAATGGCCATATTGCCCAAAATAATTTATAGATTCAATGCTATCCCCATCAAGCTACCATAGACTTTCTTCACATGATTAGAAAAAACTATATTAAATCTCTTATGAAACCAAAAAAAGAGCCCACATAGCCAAGATAATCCTAAGCAAAAAGAACAAACCTGGAGGCATCACACACCAGACTTCAAAGTATACTACAAGTCTACAATAACGAAAACATCATGGTACTGGTAACAAAACTGATATATAGACCAGTGGAACAGAACGGAGTCCTCAGAAATAATACCACACATCTACAACCATCTGATCTTTGATAAACCTGACAAAAACAACCAGTGGGGAAAAGATTCCTTATTTAATAAATGGTGTTGGGAAAACTGGCTAGTCATATGCAGAAAACTAAAACTGGACCCCTTCCTTACACCTTATACAAAAATTAACTCATGATGGATTAAAGACTTAAACGTAAGATCTAAAACCATAAAAACCCTAGAAGAAACCTAGGCACTACCATTCAGGACACAGGCATGAGAAAAGACTTTATGACTAACACCAAAAGCAATGGCAACAAAAGCCAAAATTGACAAATGAGATCTAATTAAATTAAAGGGCTTCTGTAGAGCAAAAGAAACTGTCATCAGAATGAACAGGCAACCTACAGAATGGGAGAGAATTTTTTGCAATCTATCCATCTGACAAAGGGCTAATATCCAGAATCTACAAAGAATTGAAACAAATTTACAAGAAAAAAAAAAATCAAAAAGTGGGCAAAGGATATGAACAGACACTTCTCAAAGGAAGACATTTATGTAGCCAAGAAACATATGAAAAAAAGCTCATCATCACTGGTCATTACAGAAATGCAAATCAAAACCACAATGAGATACCACTTCACGCCAGTTAGAATGGCAATCATTAAAAAGTCAGGAGACAACAGATGCTGGAGAGGATGTGGAGAAATAGGAATGCTTTTCCACTGTTGATGGGAATTAGTTCAACCATTGTGGAAGACAGTGTGGTGATTCCCTAAGGATCTAGAACCAGAAATACCATTTCACCCAGCAATCCCATTGCTGGATATATACCCAAAGGATTATAAATCATTCTACCATAAAGACACATCCATACGTATGTTTATTGTGGCACTATTCCTGATAGCAAAGACTTGGAACTAACCCAAATGCCCATCAGTGACAGATTGTTTAAAGAAAATGTGGCACATATATACCATGGAATGCTATGCAGCCATAAAAAAGGATGAGTTCATGTCCTTTGGAGGGACATGGATGAAGCTGGAAACCATCATTCTCAGCAAACTAATACAAGAACAGAAAACCAAACACCGTATGTTCTCACTCATAAGTGGTAGTTAAGCAATGAGAATACATAGACACAGGGAGGGGAACATCACACACTGGGGCCTGTTGGAGGGGTGGGGGTTAGGGGAGGGATAGCATTAGAAGAAATAGCTACTGTAGATGACAGGTTGATGGGTGCAGCAAACCACCATTGCACATTATACCTATGTAACAAACCTACACATTTTGTACATGTACCCCAGAACTTAAAGTATAATTTCAAAAAAAAAAAAAAGCTACTAGAAAAAAACATTCTGAGAAACACACAAAGATTTATGTAGTTGAAAACAAGCGAAATATGATATATTTATTAAATAAACTTTGGTGCAAATAATAATTATTTTTTATTTATTGGACAATTTCTAGGTGCCAGATGCTGTTCTACAGGTTATGAATGCATCAACATTAAAATAAAGTTGATACTATTATTATTTCCAACACATGAAGAAACAGAGAAACAGAGAGGTTAAGTAGGTCATCCAAGATCACACATTAAAGAAGAGGGAGCACCAGGAATTGAACTGAGATGTCTTATTCAAGAGTCCATGTTCTAGTCACTAATCTGTTTCTAAGACTGTACAGTCCATGCATCGATCCATGGATTCCATCATGTGGTAGCACCTATATAATGAAATACAGTGAACCTTTTTGAAAAAATATGTTTCAATAGGAGCTAAATTATATAAGGACATGCTTACATTAAAATATTCAGGGGAATAAACAGTATGCAAAACTGCATATTATATTAATTCAGTTCTAGAAACATATGTGTATGTCTGTAGGTGTATAAATCAAAATTCAGACCTTATTAGTGCCTATCTCCAAGTGATGGGTTATATGTAATTTTTTCTCCTTTATGCTTTCTAAATATTCTGAATGTTTGTTAATGAGACAAAACTGCTGTGATCCTCAGAAAATTTATATTAAAAAATATTTAGGGTGCCAAGAAATACTAGAATACTTAAGAACAGCATTTAGGTTACCTTATGTTAAAAATTGAATCCAGAAGTAAATATTTGTAAGAAAAACAATTTTCAAGGGTGGCTAACTTTTAGTTTCTTAAATAATGAACCCAGAAGAATAAATACAAAATATTTGCAAGAAAATATAACTATATGAAGAGTTGGGAAGACAGGAAGAATGTTCAGACTAGAAAGGGTAGTACCTAAAAGAACTTAATAGAACTCCTGTGCTGGATTAAGTTTGCACACTGGACCCTATTTTGACTTATGTCAGCTCTGCATAGGCAGTCTCCTGCAGTCATCAGGATTCACTGGAGACTGGAATCATGTGGACAGAGGACCTGATATCCTCAGAAATGAAAATAGGGGAAGAGCTTTGAACCCAGAGGTACAATCTCTGGATTGGGGAGTTTCAAAGGTGCCAGGGAAAAGTAGTAAAAAGAGCCTTCTTTTTTACAATAACCCCAAAAGACACTTTGCTCTGTGACAGTCCGTCCTGGGAAGGGCCTATCGGCAGCACCAGATGAGCCTGTAGACACCCACCTTGAGATGGCACATTCCCAGCTGCCCTGTGCATGCCAGTCTTATCAGTTTCAATGGAAGCCTGGAGCTCCAGATAATGCTGCTTGGCCCCAAACGCTGGACAGAGCATGCTTTTTCCTGTTTGGCTGGGAAATTTAAGGCTGAACTGCTGAATCTGACACTTAACAGGAGTTTGGCATTCTGCTAAATACAGACTAGATCAGAGACTTTTTTTTTTTTTTCATTGAAAAGTAACTTGGGTTCACTTTAGAAATCCTTATTTGGTGTGCACATCTAGCTATTTCACAGAGATTTCCGTTTTACAAAGAAGTTGGAGTGGATTTCTTCCCTCAGATAAGCTATTGGTTGTTGGTGGCCAATCGAAGTTGCTCAACATAGACAGGAGCAAAAAAGGTTCCTGCTGAGATTGAAAGAAAACCTCAGAGGAGAACTCTGAGAATTCGTCTCAGGATGAAGCTGCAAAAGCAAAGGAGAAGTACTTGTGATACAAGCAAATGTGGTCCATCGATCAACAGATGCAAGATTCTTCTCCCAACTACTGCAGCTCCTGCGGTGATGAGAATCTGGCTCCTTAGAGGCCTGCTGCCATTCCTGCTGCTCCTCTCTGGCCTGCAGAGACCCACGGAGAGTTCTGAGGTAGGAGGACAATTGAGGAGGTGATCTCTTTTTGATCGGTGCTCCAACAGAACATTCACCTGGCTATAGCCTTTAAATGGCCCAAAGCTTAGGCATTCGGAATCTAGTTTCATTCAGACATTTTAACAAATCATGTTAGTAAAGAGTGTTGAAAATAATTATTAAAAATTGTAGAATCCTTCATCATTTGGAAACTTGACTTTATGGATGCTAGTGGCATAAAGTTGTTTTCTTGATCCACTATAAAAATTAAGTAAAATATTGCTTCTATAGTTCAAACAATGCAAAATAAACCAATTCTATTTGGCTTTGAACTTTCTCATACAGATAGACTCAAGTTTTAAGTATTTTAATGTAAAGATCTTTGTAACAAAAAGCAACCTAATGTTAAGAGATGACAGAGTACATATTTGAGATCTAGTAACATATTAACAAAGTCTCAGAGTTCATCATGACAGTTCACAGAACATGATACTGGTTTGGTTTTGTTTCGCTTGGCTCGGCTTGAATAGATTCTGGAGACCTATTTTAAAACCTATTGTGAAGACTTATCTGTTAAAATCATTTAATCAGTCTTAAAAATGTATTCTATTTTACACACAACTAGCTGATGTCTCGTCATAAATAACATAGTGAAAATACCAAAAGTTCCAGTTCCAACATCCTTAACATTGACTAGATGGAATGTGATCCTTTAACATGTCCCTTAATGAGTACTGTTTACTAGAAAAACATTATTTCTTTGTCAAGAAAGAAATATTTTAGAATTTACATAATTTACATATGGCTCTAAATGATGAACTGATGATACTTAGTGGACTTCTATTCAAATCTGTCATTTCAGTTTAGTATGCACTAGACATCAACAAATAACATTCTATTAGCTACCCATTAGAAAGGAATGTCCCTTTCCAGGAGGGGAGAGACTTTCCCAGGCACATTCCTGACTGCCGTCCAACTCTTTACTCACTATGCTGTCCCTGAGGTGGACACATGTACTTGACTCATGGGGAAAAACAACTGGGTGTGCTGAATTTGGCTCTGCTCCTCTTCCTCCTGGGGGTTAGCCTAATGGCAAAGGGCATCAGTTCTCTGTTCCCAAATGACAAGAATCTTACCTGGGCAGGCCCTAGTCCAGTACTGCCTGCAAATGAGTCAGTCCTGTTCTGGTATTTGCTCTTAACAAGCCAGTTGCCATCAGACCTAACGATGTGACTGCTGTAGCATGCCCTCATTCAGTAAGAAACAGATATTTTGGCTTTCAGATTTTGTCATTTTTATTCTCAATGTTTTCAGAACCTGGGTAGACAAGAAGGTTGTTACTTATGAGAACCACCCTTGGAGAACCTAGTACTCCTCATAATTTAAGGATGAAATTCAAGAATTTAATATAGGTTTTGGGCATTCATAAAAGTGATATTTTTGAAAACACCAGTGATAGGATAGAAAGAGGGGTGCAAGTAGAGGAAACAGAAAGTATGATTAAACTGTAAAATTATAAATTTTTTCTTCAAAGTACTTAATATGCAAAAATTCTGTGATTTTAGTGATATTAAAAGACTTACTTCCTCTCTGGAGAGATGAGTTTTTCAAGCTTTCAGTAATTTATTTATCAAACCAAATTCAATCTCTAGCACAGGTCACTGATGCAGGAAGGATTGGAACAGTGTAATGATTCTGAGTGAAACTTGCTTCAGCAAATATTTATTTCCAGGAGAACACTTGGCCTTATAGAGGACAGCAAATCTGCAACCACATTCACCATCTGATTTGAAAAATTAAAGTCAAGATTTTTCTTTTCTTTTAGGTTGCAATTAAAGTTGACTTTGACTTCGCACCAGGTTCCTTTGATGATCAGTACCAAGGCTGTAGCAAACAGGTTATGGAGAAACTAATTCAAGGGGATTATTTCACAAAAGACATAGAATCCCAGAAGAATTACTTTGGGATGTGGCAAAAAGCCCACTTAACCTGGCTTAACCTGGGAGGAAAAGTTCTCCCCCAGAACATGACAACCACACATGCTGTGGCTATTTTGTTTTATACATTGAACAGCAATGTTCATTCTAACCTCACTAGAGCCATGGCCTATGCTGCCAGGACTCCACAGCAATACGAACATTCATTCCACTTCAAATATTTACACTACTACCTGACCACAGCAATCCAGCTGCTGAGGACAGACAGCATCATGAAGAATGGCACTCTGTGCTATGAGGTATATTATACGATGAAGGATGTCCACTTCAATGCCTACACAGGGGCCACCATTCGATTTGGCCAATTCCTCTCCACATCCCTCCTAAAAGAAGAAGCACAGGAGTTTGGGAACCAGACACTATTTACTATATTCACCTGCCAGGGCGCACCTGTAGAATACTTCTCCCTCAAGAAGAAAGTCTTGATCCCTCCCTATGAGCTGTTTAAAGTTATAAGTATGAGTTACCACCCAAGAGGAAACTGGATGCAGTTGAGTTCAACTGGGAACCTGAGCACGTATAACTGTCAGCTGCTAAAAGGTATTCTTTACCTAAATTGAGGCCAATTGGGATCACAGATCACTGCTCTTTTATAAAAGTTATTTTTTCTCAGTGGGCTTGAGGGGAAAGACCAGAAACATGAAAATTGACTTTCAGTAGTGATGGAACTGACAGATTAGAGAAAAACCCACTTTATTTATTGGCTTCTTCTCTTTTCTTCCTACTCCACTACCTCTTAGGACGATAAGTTCTGCAATAAAATTATTATGTAGGGACTTGTAGACAGACAGAGTGAAGCTTGAGTGGAGGGTGGAGCATAAAGATAGCACTTTCACCTTCTCCCTCAAAGTCATTGTTTTTGTCATGGTCATTACATGGATAATGACTTCTAAAAGTAAAGCAAGAGGCAATATATTTATTAATTAATTTTCTGTTCATTAATCATCTTCTATTGTGTGGGGGCCCTGGAAATACAGAGTGAATAAAGAAAAATAATAACCTAGGGGGATTTTTAGTCTAATGAGAAATGGAATCATGAACAAACGTATATACTCAAAAGTACTAAGTGATATACCACATGTTTAAGCAATAGCTGTGACTGCTCAGTGCAGGGAGCTACTTATTCTCTCCAGGAAAAGTGAAGAAAGCTTCATAGTAGAGAGCCACATGGGTCTTGTCATGAGAATGGGTGTTTTCAATGAAAGAAGAGAAATCATTTTAAGCAGAGGATAGCTTGCTGTGGTTTCAGTGTGTCCCTCAATAAGTTCCTATGTGGGAAGCTTAACCTCCAGTGCAACAGTGTTATGAAATGAGTTCTAATAAGAGATAATTAGATCTCTACCAATAAGAGATGAGTGGATAAATGTTATTGTTGTATGAGCAGGTTAGTTATTGTGAGAGCGTGTTCTTGTAAAGAGAGTCTGACCACTGGTGCCTCCCTGTTTTGTGTACCCACTTCTTTTCCACCATGTTATGGTATTGCACAAAGGCCCTCACCAGATGCTGGAGCCATGCTCTTGGACTTCCCATCTCCAGAACTGTGGGAAATAAATTTATTTTCTTTACAGATTACCCAGTCTATTCTCTGCTATTACCAAGGTATTCTCATAATAGAGAATAGCTGTTACCAAGCTATTCTCAGCTTACAATGACTTTTCTTCTTTCATTGAAAACACCATTCTCATGACAAGACCCATGTGGCTCTCTACTATGAAGCCGTCTTCACTTTTCCTGGAGAAAATAAGTAGCTCCCTGTACTGAGCAGTCACAGCTATTGCTTAAACATGTGGTATATCACTTAGTACTTTTGAGTATATACGTTTGTTCATGCTTCCATTCCTCAGTAGACTAAAAATCCTCCTGTTACTCTGTTATTGCAACAGAAAACAGACTCTGTTTTACTTAGCACTTAGTACTTTTGAGTGTATACATTCGTTCGTGCCTCCACTTCTCAGTAGACTAAAAATCCTCCTGATATTCTGTTATTGCAACAGAAAACAGACTAAGACACTAAGAGACTAAGATTTCAAACAGCCTGGTGTCTTCAGGGACTCTGAAATTCTGGGTGGCTGGTATGTAGGATGTGTATGATATGGGAAGAGAATAGGAGAAGGAAGGGAAGAGAGGATTTGTCCAGGTGGGAGAATTCTGATGGGGCCTTATTATAAAAGGTATTGTAGTCCATGCTAAGGACCTTTGAATTTTATGCTGTAGGTAATAAGTCATTAGAAGTTTTTAAGGAGTAGAAATCAATTTGATCAACATTTTTAAAAGGGCTCTAATGATATTGTAAAAAATGAACTAAAGCAGGAAAAATTAGAGATAACAAAATACAAAAAGTTGTTAAATTTTTTTAAGAAAAACATGATTGATTGAATTTTATGTTGCCACCTAGTCATTTCATGTAGGGGTAGTTATGTAGCAAATCCTCTGCCCTGTTTGATTCAGAAAAAAAAAAAAAAGACTTTTTATTCAGATATGCATTTATTTACATTCACAGTTAGCTGGAACCCAGCTCTGGGGTCTGCCTTCAATATGTCCCCAAATTTGTCTCTGTTCTATTATGATGATGATGATTTATAATTCAGGCTCTCGGCATTTCTCAACATTTCAGGGTGGTAGTGTTGCAAATGTCTTCAAACTGGCATCCACACTGAGGTTCAGAATCTGCTCACTCTGTACTAGCTCACAGACCAGGGATAGGAAACCTATAAATACTCACATGTCTTCTTGGCAGCATGGCAGCAATACGAGTGAAATGAGTATCTGCCCCACAGACACAAGAGATTAGTGTTTGTAGAGGATGAAAAACTATAGTAGAATATGAAGACAACAATGAGATTTTAATAATAAATGAAAACATTCATAGCCAGGTTTCAGGATTCTTTGGAACTACACCTGACTAGGATAGGATTACTTCATTCTCATCATGAATTTGGGACATACAATTCTTCACTAGGATAATGAGCACAGTAGAATACATTCAATGAAAAATTATAGAAGATTTATATCAAGAATTGAGTGGGAAACTGAGGGAAAGGAGTATAAAATATAAACTATTACTCACATTCTGCCACTCTATAAACCTCAGAGAAAAATATTTCAAGACACTCCCACCCAAATTAATGATCTTTGCTTTCCTATGTTGAAACTACTACAATGCAACTTTAACTTAGTTTTGAGTTAAGGTTTAGCTGGGGTAGCCACATATATTACTAAATTCTGAAAGTTCAGTTGGTCTTAATGAGATATTTGAAATCACAAATCACACTTAAGGGAATCAATAATCTATATCGCTCTGTAAGCTCCCTGTGGGGAAGAACTGGACTACGTAGTATTTCAGAGATAGGCAGGCAGGCAGTTTGAGCCCAGACCCACTCTGTTTGAATTTATATCCCACTGTACCACTTAATAGTGATGTGTTCTTGGTTAAGCTGCTTAAACTCCTTAAATATCTTCATCAGCCTAATAATCATCATAACAGAACATCAGAAGGCATTTGTGAAAATGAAATAAAATGAAAAATGTGGCCAAGCGTGGTGGCTCACATCTGTAATCCCAGCACTTAGGGAGGCAGAGGCAGGTGAATCAATTGAGGCCAGGAGTTTGAGACCAGCCTGGCCAACCTGGTGAAACCTTGTCTTTACAAAAAGATACAAAAGTTACCTGGGCATCATGGCACACACCTGTAGTCCCAGCTACTAGGGAGGCTGAGGTGGAAGAATTGCTTGAACCCAGGACGCGGAGGTTTCAATGAGCCAACATCACACCACGGCACCCAGCCTGGGTAACAGAGTGAGACTCGATCTCAAAAGAAAAGTAAATAAATAAGATTATTTATACATTTGATAGCATATAATAAATGGTAAATCAGTGTCAGCTATTACTAATTTCAGTGCCCTGGCTCATAGAGGTGCCCAGCCTATTTTTGTTGAATGAGTGAATGAATGATGGTGAATGAATGAAGCATGCCCTTTTATACTTTTAAGCAATCTGTGCGTTAGACCACATGACCATATAATGCAATTAATTAAAAATAGTTCCAATATTTGAAGAAGAGAAAATATTCTAGAAGCTTCAACCTCTAGTCAAAAGTAAGCTGTTGTCACAATGTAAATGATCAACATGGTCACTTGCAATGTGAGTTAGCATAAATATATTTTTCCCAGAAATTTATCAATTAGAAGCTTGTGCGGCCATGAGGAAAAGCTTGTAAATGGCAGAATAAAAATACCAGTGGTCATAGAGGATAATATTTTCTTTATAAATTGAAGTGATGAGGGAAGAGCTAGGTCAGAGGCATCATATACCCAGCCAAAAGCTGGAATTGGAGCATCTTCTCATCCTCCAGAGCTATGAAACTATCTGGAAAGGTGAAAGAGGGAGAGGAATAAGCTCACATTGCAGGGATGCCTTTCTTCCTTTACCCCAGACTCTAAGGGTTGCAGAGAAGGCTGGTCCGTCCTCTGGTTCCACCTGATCTACCTAAGCCTCATCTACCATTGGCTCGTTGGCAGCACAGTCACTTAGTTAAGAGCAAAAAATTGCAGTAGTGCTCCCTTATCTATGGTCTTGCTTTCTCTGATTTTAGTTACCCACTGAAAATATTAAATGGACAATTCCAGAGATAAATAATTCCCAAGTTTTAAATGGATGCCATTCTGAATGGCATGATGAAATCTTGTGCCTTCCTTCTCAGGATGTGAATCATCCCTTTGTTTGAGGGATCCACAGTCTACACTACCTGCCTGTGAGTCACGTAGTAGCCTTCTCAGTTATCAGAGTTGCTATCTCAGTATTGCAGTGTTTGTTTCCAAGTGACCCTCATTTTATTTCATAATGACCCCAAAGTGCAAGAATAGTGAGCCTAGCGATTCAGATATGCCCAAAAGAAACCCTACAGTGCTTCCTTTGAATGAAAAATTTAAAGTTCTTGACTTAATAGGAAGAAAGAAAAAGTCATATGCTGAGGTTGCTAAGACAGTAACAATGAATCTTCTACCTGTGGAATTATGAAGAAGGAAAAGGACATTCATGCTAGTTTTGCTTCCACACTTCGAACTTTATTGTTGGTGGTATATATATGAAACTAACATAGGCTTCAGGACTATCAGCAGTTTCAGGCAGCCACTGAATGTCCTGGAATGTATCCTCTAAGGATAAGGGGGTACTACTGTATACAGTCTTGGATGGGACACAATATCTATCTCTTCTGATTTAAAAAATGTTTGATTGCCTTCAGAATGTTTTCAGTTATTCACTACAGTGTGTTTTGTTTTGTTTTGCTTTGCTTTTTGTTTCGCTTTTCTCAATCAGCAAGCTAAGGAACACCAGGAAGGTTCTTAAAGTCATTTCTATTAACTGATAACTAGTACTTACTCCAACATCCTGGAGCAGTATTGGGCTGATCCATACATGAACAATAAGAGGAAGGAGGTGGTGTGTCTTTCTTATCTGGGGTCCTTCAATGAAAGGGAGTAAGATCAGTGGACTCTCCCCTGATCCGACATTCTAGATAGCTGCTCTTTCCCACTTCACTT